TGTGTTAGTGAGTATGTGCGTGTGTGTAAGTTTAATGGAAAAGCAGAAAGCATGGTGAGGTGTTGTGCTGTTATGGGAAACTCTTCAATGTATTTAATAAGTGAGTGAAGTAAAAAAAATAAAATAAAAACAACTAATAATAATATTATTATGAATGTTAAAAAAGAAGAGACAGAAGACCTGACGTGTGATGTCCGTAACAGAGACAATGGCAGCAACTTTCCTAATCACGGACACTGATCCAGAATATAATTGTTATGTGGGTGGTGGGCGGGTGCTCTGGTGTTGTTTGCTTCTTCATTCCTACCAAAAATCTTTCATCTTTATATCCCCTTTTTCTATTTTGTGTTTGTTACTCTCTTATAACACCTCCAATCTTCGTCACTTATATGGCCTTATTGGGTTTCAAGTGCCGTAAATCTTACGAAAACTAAAAAAGAAGAAGTGTTCTACGCTTACCTACCCCTATCTGTGGTCCGGCTTAAATCACTTTCAGTTTTACCAATCCTGCTCGGGAAACTGGTAGAGCCGAGCGCTTTTGGGAAAAAAACACCCCCAAAACAAAACAAAACAAAACTATCAAAGCCGCGCACTTTTTGACGATATCGATACAATTACATTACCGATTCCATCCAACGGTTACAGTCCGTTAGGCAATATTACTCCCTAGGATTTCCATTAAACTGAGTTTCACGAAACTTTCTTTATAGTTGAGCCAACTAACGAAGTGAGTGATGTGTTTTTGTGCTATATGATAATAAAACGTGTATTCAAATCTGCGACATTTTTATGTATTATGTTTTAAAAATTTAAGAAATTTTTTCGCCCCTGTCCTGTAAATGTTTTTATGCCTGGAAGGAAATCCATTCAATAAAAAAAATAATCTAGCGCAGTCATTTTAAATCAAATTGTTAGATGGTATTGGTTTTGGTAATCAGCAATCTAATTATATCGATATCGTCAAAAAGTAAAAGTGCACGGGTCTGATAGTCCGCGGCTTTGACTCTTTCTTTTTCAAAAGGGCGCGGCTCTGGTTTTCTTTTTTTCTCTCTCTCTCTCTCTCTCTCTCTCTCTCTCT